GTACTTGGCATTGAACGAGTTTCCTACAAGAAACAAATGCATCATGAGAACAAATAACATTTGGCATGAAATCGTTAGGATTTGGTACTTCTGGAATATTTTCCTCAAATTCATTAAGAGTTTCATTGGTGAATAATAGATCATTAGGAAAACCAGCATCTAACAATATCCTATCAGATTTGTGTTCATGATTTGATTCATTCGGCATATCTTCCTCACTTTTATAGGAAAGTTCATCAGAAATATGTGCATCATTAAGACAACTGATATCTGGTGAACTAACATGAGAAATCTGATAAGTTTGACTGCAAAATAGACCACGATTTGGTCCTGAAATACCCAAGCAGTACTTCGAAGGAACTTTAGACTATCAACGTAGGTGATCGATGTTGAATGATTGGAGGCTAACTCAAGTTAGACCAATCAGCTAACGTCGAAGTCATACCTCATGGTTAGCACCTAACGCGGATTACACCTTCATTGTATCCAGGTACTATGGCTACTTTCATAAACGTACAACACAAACGACGGTATTACAGAAATATATTAATATGAGTATTTCAAGGAGCGGAGTGCGACCACTGCTGCATGGGCCAGTTCATGACATGCAATTAACTGATTCACACGGGTTGTATTTGACCTTGATGAGGATAGGTGAACTGTTTGATATTCAGTGACCCGACTGCCGCATGATTCGGTTAGAACGCAATGACATTTTGCTGGTCCTACAAAAACTTTGGTTGCTACAAGCACATGTAGATCGTGAATGTAGGTAACCTGTATTGATGATCCGTTTACTTGGTCTAGTCGGGTATGGTGTTTCCTCCTAGTTTACTTCGAAGTCGCACTTTGTGGTTGAAATTTAACCAAGCTTATCCTAACGTGGGATACATGTCAACAGTCTCACTTGGTGACATATTATAATAAGTAGCCTAACAGGGAAAACATCATGTATTATGAAAATAGATTGTAGAAATACAGAGTTGGACAAATGCTCCATGCCTCAGTCCATGAAGTGCCAACGAATAATCTCCGTTGGTCATGATGATGTCCAGTATCCAGTTCGGCGTTCAGTGATCCATCACCCATCTTAGAAATGCCTTAGCCTGGTGTATGACTTGGCCAGACTCAGTGACATCTCACAGACAATGAACACACTAAAGTATTGTGTTTTGATTGGAACTAGGCGCCCAGTCATGACGAAACTGATAATAATTTTTTGTAAAAGCCACATGTGATACATTTATTCAGCCATTTCACTCCCTATTTATAGTTCTGGTGTTGACGCAAATTATTCTTGTAATAATATTACGCATTTAGAGAGATAAACGCGCCCTAAGTATTTAACCAGTGTTATTCGAACTGATCGAGAGACCCTGAATTTTGTAAGACTTCGTCGAATAAGGTTATCTCATCTGTGTGTTGCAATTCAACAAGTGAGTCATCTGGTGGAACATTAGTCTCTAAAAATACAAACAATGAGAGCGCTGTATCCGAAAAGATGTTTATAACGAAGCCAAATAAGAGTGAGTAGGGTAAACAGCCTCAACGAACACTCTGGTATTGTCGATTCCGACTGCAGTTTTCCATAATCTATGAACACAATAAGTACTTACGTAAAGAGACTATACAATGCTGTGTACTTTCTTGGACGTTTTCTATGAAGCAATAAAAATTACGGTATGAAGTCTAGTGAAAATCGTTTTGTTGACACAATAACATTACATACGTACACCCGCGTTTGTTCTGTTTGCACAGTTTTCTATGGAAGTTCCCGACATTCTATATTTATTCATCATAATTTCCAATACTGTATGACATGAAAGCCCCAGCAATCAAATGTGTCATTCACTTTAATATTAAAACTGGAGTTTTCTTTTAATATGCACTCAAATATTATGAAATACTGAAGTCTGTCAACACACAATACAAAACAATACTATACTATGCTACACTATATAGTGTGGTGTGTGCTACTTATATTGACATAAGTAGTATATGATGTTAGTCGTGAACAGAAGGTCTGGCAGCAGGGAGAAAAGAGGATCGAACAGTAAAGAATGGAAACAGGATGCAATTTGTATGAAAATACAAGAACAATGAAGTTTGAGTCATTTTGAGACAATTGGTGGACATTTTGCAAATTAAGCATCTACTTTATGATTGTTAGATTTTATTAACAAGTCCTGTAATTTTGTGTCGATTAAAAAAATATCTAATCCTCACCACTTATGTTTATTATTATCATCTTCAACATTCAACTGCTACAAAACAGTCTAGTTGGTCTTCTCTGCCGGTCACAAGCTAGGGTAAAGGAGGAGGGTTGAGCGTGGGGTTGGGAACCCAGTGCTGTAGAAAAGGTCTTGCTAGAAAACATACGGACCAAGCACACAAAAAATACACGGACATAGTCAACAAGACCACAGATAACTCGGGCACGCAGGAGGGTCATAGACTTCCCGGCCATGATAAAATGACTGAGTCAATGGATAAAGTTGTTTATTAAAACAAATTGCATAGAAATATACGAGGACTACTGCAGGTGTCTTTCGTTTAACTTAAGACTTGGTATTTTAATTACACTCTTTGTCTAGTAAGGCTATTTATATTTACATATGTGCAATTATACGAAGAAAGTCGAGAACGTTTCCATAAGTAATTCCCAAAAAAGCCTTTGCACCTCAAATCGAATTCAAATTATAAAAGAAAACATTTGAAACTAGGAAATAGTGGACAAGGATTGCATCCTAGCTTAATTATTAAACTACACACAACCATCTATAACTACTATCAAACACGTTGCTGTTAGATACCATTTTTAGTAAATATTTTATTACCAACATTATTTATTGAGATATACCCTCTTCACCTAGTATCAATAAAAATTAAGTTCAGCACTTTAAAATATCCAGCTAAATGTGTCTCCAATAATCACAAGGTTAAGGTCGTTTATCGACTAACCAGTGAGTATCAATAAACTGATTTATTGAAATTTATAAAACTAGTGAATGATCATTTAATAGTAACGTCAATACGTTAGATGCAACTTAAAGTAAGTAAGTAATAATTAAACCATTCCTTATTCATATTAATATCAAATACCATTTGTGATGATTAGGAGTAGTTAAAATATTAGTACAAACTAAGAATCCCAGAAATAACTAAGAAGAACTATATGAGCACGAACAAACGTATTGTATTTATAATTCGTAATCAAACAGTCATCAAGTGCAAAGGAATCGTTAGTTCATACAAACACCACATCCGCCACATCTTAAATTGGAATCTAAGTTTCTGTAACTGATTGTACGTCTTCTTAATTTCATCCAATGTCTGTTCAGCAGTGTATTGGATATAGACTCTACACTACCTAGAATGTACTCATTAGTGTTAGAGTTAATAACTGAAATTCGAACGGACTCGTCTCTGTCCTGGAATTGTATACAATCACCATGTCGGTTGCGTAGTGAAACCACAGATATCCAGAATTTGCATGATAGACTTTCCAACACTATCCTGCTCCACGAAATAATGTTGGGTTCTTACGTCACAATGTTATGAACAATTTGACGTTCCTAATTTGAATTATCTTCAAATATCTCACACTTCAATTATTACATTATTACATATCTGAGGAAACTGGTTCTTTGACTACTTCAGGAAAACTTGCTATTTCCTCTGATTCATCAAACCACTGACTAGGGATTCTGCTCAACACACATTGGCTGCGAGAATATCCAACATCTGATACAATAACATCAGGAATGTGACTAGAATTCGACTCATTCGGAACATATTTGTCACATTCATTAGGGATATCACTAGAGATAAATCCATTGTGAGAACAAATGACATTTGATATGAAATCAGAATTTGATTTTTGTGAAATATCGATCATTACAAAAATCAGCATCTATCAAATCCGCATCAGGTTTTCGATCATGATATGATTCATTCAACGTATTTTCCTCAGATTTGTAAGAAATTTAGTCAGAAATATGTGAATCATTAGGGAAAAACCATATCCGGTACAATAACATGATAAATCTGATAAGTTGGTTGATTAGAAACACAATGATTCTGAGTTTCATCTGACTCTGGACTGCCATGTGACTCTATACCTCTTTTCGAAGTGTGGATAAAGATGAATGATCATTAGTAACACCCAAATTAATGGGATCGCAATTACAAATTTTAGCATTAGTTGCAGTCAAGTGAACCGTAGCATCACAAACCGACTGAATGTGTCCAATCTCACCACATTTAAAGCATTTAGAATTACAAAACGCACATGAATTACATGGGTGAAACTTGTCACAGAACACGCATTTACCAAACTTGCGCTCATCTTCGTGACCTGATTCGCAACTTCTCAATGAATCGTTATATGAATAACATAGATTACGCTTTGGACTGGGACGAAGTAGTAAAGTAGTGAGATTCCTGATGTCTTGATGAATCGTTTTATGAAATTTTTCTCCTTTACTGCATTCGAAATTTGTACACTTTACATGGTCTGGTAGTAGTTACTTGAGAGTTGTATAAGGGAGTGGAATTGGCTTGTCTGGAAATGCCAAAGTTTTTATTAAGCTATATGCTTCTTTTCCGGTCAATATTAACATCGTCAACATCTTGCTTGTTCACGAGCGAAAGTATTGCATTTGGAATTTGGAATCAAGCAGTCATCAAGTACAAAGGAATCATTAGTTCATACAAATACCACATCACCTTTCATTATCAAGTGTTTCGAGTATCAGATGAAATGCTCAATTCAGAAATTATTATAAAGTTTAAACTCTTACCAACTAAGTTGGTCTCATAGCATTTCTTATTTGTGACAATTTCAAATGAGGAGAAAATAATGGCTAAACCTAATTAAATAATCATTATTGCATAACATTTGAAACTGTCTCAAATAGCTAGCATGTGAATTCACGATTTTGTAAATACTGTTTCAATGTACGTTAAATGATGGTATGGTTTTGTTTATTCAAATAGACATGAAAAATGTTGATTTAATTGTTTTACGCGCAATCACAACTCAACAAAAACGTTTGAGTTTAAGTAATAAAAAACTTTATCATTTACCATACAACATTGAATTTCTTAACTGGCTTGTAATATTAGATCTACGTTCAAATAATTTATCTGATCTGCCAATTCTACCAAAACATGTGAGTTTGTCCCTTTCATTGTTTAATATTTTCTATTAATTTATTTATCAGCTACAATCGATTAATTTAGGTCACAACTGGTTTACAACAATACCTAATTCTGTACTTGAATTGACGTCACTCAAATCAATCAGTATGTATAGCAATCAACTTCAATCTATTCCAAGTACAATTTTCGGTAGTTGATATCTACTAAATAACTTAAATTTTCTATAGAACGGTTGGTTAATCTTGAATACATAAATTTCAATCATAATTGCATTGATGCACTAAATGACTCAATATCCAAGTATAAAAAATATCATTAATTTACTTTGTTTAGTTTAGCCCATTTGAAATACTTGTCGAGTTCTCATAATAAATTGACGACACTACCAGAGTCAATGTGTTCAATGCTCAACAAATTAGAATATTTAAATCTAGGTTATAATCATATTTTGACATTGCCATTTAATTTTGGTCTACTACAAAATATGAAAACACTTCTTTTACATAAGAACTTTTTAACACGATTACCTGAGGTAAGTAGTGTGATATTTATTTAGAGAATTTGGATTTTAGACATTCGGGCAACTGAAATCACTAACAGTTTTAGACTTAGCTGGTAATAACTTACAACTTTTACCATCCAACGTAAGTCACTTTATAAAATGGGGGTTATTTTATGAGACTACACTTTATGATGAAATTCACTTTTATTACTATTCAACAACTGCTGTAGAATTACAAACACTTAGCGAGATTAGTATATCTGTTTCATCTTAGTACTGAACTTCTACGAAGTCTAAATCCATGACGCATCATAGGATCAAATCCAGAACAATCACTATTTATTCTCACGACTAAGTCGAAGTAAACGGTAGTAATTTTCAACTTATGTCAATCTAAAATTTTACTTTAACATCATTCAGTGAGGAATGATAAAAGTTGGTAATATGAATCGTTGCACTGGTTTGAAAGCACTGTGCTCTCCATAACCCGGAATGTCCTAGATTTGATTTTATGTAGAGTTATTAGTCTACAATTCTAAGTAGTCCGACAACGAAGTAATTGTCACATATATACTTGTTCTTAATCATTCTCCAGATGACGTCGGTGGATGATAATAAATGCTAACTTCAAACCCGAATAATCTTCAATCAAAGTTCAGTCTGAATAAATTATGTTTTGTTTTTCTATAATTCCAGTTTACACAGTTGAAATTAAAAGAATTCTACGCTGAAGCTAATCCATTCACACGAAACGATTTATTTACTTCAACGTATAAAGAAAATGTTTTAACATTGAAAGTAGACTGTTTAATATTCCCTTTATTTTGATGCAAAATTTTTTCATATAGGAAATTGTCTTACGAAAATTATCCCGTTTAGGATTTATTGAGTAATATTGAACTTTATCTAAAATGTATTATTCATATTTTTAGTATTGGTGTTAGCAATCCTTGGTTAGAAAGTATTATAGGATCAAAACAATGGCAAACAGCTGGATTTTGTGCTCTATGTAAAAACCCATTTGTAACTTGGTGGTTAGAAAGTGTCCGATTTGCCAATCGTAAAGAATTAGTAGGTTTTAATGTAATCAGTTCATTCATATCAATTATCTAAACAACTTTCTTTGCGATCTAGGATAGTCGATGTTGAGAAATTGCAAGAAGTACACACTGATGTAGTTCGTGGTCAAAAGCGAATGTGAACCATAACAGATACGAGATCACTGGTCACTGGTCTAAGTGACTTAACACTGTTTACACTGTATTTTGATGTAAGGGGGTTGATGATAATCGACAAGAAACTCTAAATCTCCGTTTTCGTGCTAGTTGACGCTCATAAGCAAGCTGTACTTTCGATCTTGAGGAAAGTGATTCTTCCAGTGTGATTCCGACTCGAGCTAGTCACAACATGGATATGTGTGTAGTAAGTACACAAGTTTTGAAACTGCGTGACATGATTTATAATCCCACTGAGAATATGAGTTCTCTAAATATTGAAGATATTTCTTGTCGATGATTCCTAACCAACACGAAAACTAGATTCAGGAATTTCCCCGCTGCCTCCAACTACTTCTCTTACAGAATTATGACGGATTTGAAATTTTGTTAAATAGAATTTTTTCGATAGACTTTATGGTATGACGTAGAATTCGGCATATATGTATGATCGGATTAGTATATGGTTTCGTTATTTTAGCAAAATGAATTTTGTTTAAATTGACATCTTGATATTGATCTCAAAGGCTACCAAGGACAGTCTCAGATAATATGATTAGTAGTTAAATTTGGACTGGGTAAAAGTTTACTCACTGACTGATTCCGTAAACGACCCTCAAGTGATATATATAATTACTTATCATAGACATACTAAATATATATTTTATGAAATATCAGTTATATTTAATACTGTTATTTACAGAACCACATAACTACTTTATAAATCTAGCAGAACAAAAATTTTCTTTGGTTAGTTTTATTTGTAGAAATTATCATAGTTTGAAAATAGTTCCCATCACGAAAAGAATATTAGCTGAAATACGGTTGAAAATAAAGTGGGCAATAGGCACCAATTCTATTTTGTTTTCGACTCCTCAACAATACGCACTCGTCAAAACACACAAAACTAGACTCGAAACCAACACGTTTCACAATGAGTGTGATGCTTTACACCTTCAGAATATTAAGCACAGTTCCAAACTTCATGTAAACTAGTTCTCAGTTAGCTGCGAGAAACCGCTTTACCTATGGCTGTGGAAATTTTTCGCTTAGCAAAAAATACAGCTTTACTTAATGGGCTTTAACAGATTTAAAGTTATAATTGATAAGCGCTTGCATAATTCACATGGATTGATGGGACAATGTGATAAACTTTCTTGTAAGATCACTCAGATGACGTAACATTATGGATTAAAAACAGAAGTACGGAGATATTTACATCGGTTGTCAATAGCTTAAATTTTTAATATCTAATTAAACTATTTCTTATTAATAATCCATTTCAAATTGATATGTCAGGGTGTTTTACAACTTTGTTTCTTTGTTTTACTTTCACTTTCTTTTCCTAAAAAATATAGATTATCTCTAAAAAATCTCAGTTGAACAAAGCATCTCCAGAAGTATTATATCCGTTAAGGACTTTATTTTGCAGTTATCACTGCTTAAATTCAAGCGGAAATTGTTACGAATTAAGTGTTGGTTAATGCTTTGTCGTAATGAATTTACTCCTAGTGATGACGAAGAAAATTTCAAGCTCAGAAGGAAGATTTAGAGTGATGTGTACAATTGAACTGGATGCTTTATTCATCATTAAATTCTTCTATAATGTGTAACTTGTTTCAAAAGTATGTGCTGATGTTATTGTCCAGAAAGACACTGAAAAGTTTATAACTAAGTCATACAACTCATTGAACACAACACTTTCAATTTACTGTCAGTGGTACCATTCGTGACATTATCTTTCATTGTCCCCTTTTCGAGAAAATTTCAATTCATGGAACCAAGATTTAATCTCATGGTTTCTTTATCTCAGTCATTAGTTTGTTCCAAATGTAATCACTACTTTACAAGTTATTTTATTTATAATTCCGATTATGTGTTTCAAGTTTTCCAGAGCTTCTTCTCCCAAAATGCTTCCTTTTTAGAAAAAATTAACATATAGTAAGAATGAATAAAACTAGTTTTAAAAAAATTAATAAACAAAAATAGATGTAATATAAATACTTATATATATATATATATATATATATATATATATATATATAAACACCAAATTTAACTTTTTTGAAAAAAGATTGTTGATTAAAACAAAATACAAATCCTAGATGAATTCAGTGTGAATTGAACAAATTCGTAATGCGCTTTTAACTGTGAAAAAATATTATCATTCATAAATAATAAATACATTTTTGTTATATTCCCATGAGTAAATAATTGTATTTCTGACATTTCCTGACTTAATGTAAGCCACTTTTTCAGAGTAAATAAATAATCGAAATAAAATTAACACAAGTTTAAATAATACAAAGGTTGTCTATTTATCCCGAAGAAGTGGCTTACATTAGGTCACGAAACGTCAGTAATAAAACCTTCTACTCATTGAGATATGACAAAAAATACATTTATTATTAATTTAATTTATTTAAAACTATCAAGTCCAACCTTCGCGTTGATACTCATATTATTATTCATTGTTTGTCTCATAAAATACTAGTATTGTACCAAATATATCCTCAAACTAAATGACATCCATTTTATTTGAATTCCATTTAAGATAATCACTGGAAATAAATTACGTTCATATTCTCCTTTTCAGTACTGATCAAAACTCGATAGTCATGGGTCGAAAGCATAATAACCTCGTGCATGTCGGAATACAAATTGAAATTGTTTTAATAAAACATCTAAGACAAACTAAGACGTGTATACATTTTAGGCATACAAAATTTTAATGCATTTGATCGACTAATTTTTCGACACTGCTTTAACCTAACTTTTGGATTTAAAAAGAAAAGACCATTTCCAGGTAAAGGTCGATTGTTTGATTTCATTGTAAAGGATACTTGGTAAATTGACTTCAATAGACAAAACAAATGACCGAATAGTGATAAATCAATATTTACCTAGTGGTCAATAAAAATGTATTGCATTTGTTCCACATGGACTGTCTACGCTTGGTAGTTTGATAAAAAATATCTCTCTTCGTTTCTCATTTCATATGCCTTCAGTTTTTAATTACCATCTTTTCTTATGGGTAAAACACTGTTCTGAGGCTAGTCACAAAACGTTTATTATGTATAAGTAGTTGTTAACAACCCATGATTTTGTTAAAAATTCATAGTTATAAATGTTACGTGAAACGTTTTTCAGAAACGTGGAAAATATTAGTAAAACATGACAAAACTTACAAATTACTCAATCAATTAAACCGAATATTCACCTGTTTAGTCTCAATAAATGGTTACGATTGTTAATGAGGTTAGGTTGAACACATGGTAATTGCTATGTTACGAATGAATAAGATTATTCTAATACGGAAACAATTTAGTATGAACTTATCTTCATATCGAATGACACAAAACCGCAATTCAATATTATTAATCCACACTCTAGTATGGGAGAGAGACTAAATGGGACTTTGGGGATAGCTTTATATTGGGAATCAAAACTGAAAATTGAAATGATAAGTTTCAAAATCACTATTTAGACGTGATCAAACCGTCTATTTAGTACACAGTTATTTTTCATAGACCCTATGTATATTCAAAACATTTGAATTTGATTGTTTCCTTGAGAGGGCTCAAATCAGAATCCTAAACAAAATGCTATATTTGTCTCAAATTTTAGTCACTGAGATTTTTAAAAATATAATTTCCTTCCTAACGTCTTCCGTACAACCGGGGCCCAACTATTGTGAAACGATTTATCCAAGTTTGAGCGAAAGTTCTTATAAGATATCAATTTTGTTGTAGGTTTGTAATGTATACACAAATGTTTTGTGTAATAATTCCAACCGAAGCAAATGGTCAATCACATCATTTTATAGAGCAGCATTCGTGGAGATCGTTAAAATTTGTAAATAATGACAGAGAGGGACCATAATCCAATCCTGTTTGTGAGTCTTACCGCCAAAATAGTTGCTGAAAATCATAGTTAATTATGATTAATTAAAAATATGCTGACGAAATCTTTCAAGAGGCATTTCATGCTGTCAAACTTCTCCTTTTGTCCTATCATTTGTGGATGTATAAGCCATATACTACTTACTTGGTCCGCATCAATCTGTTTTTACAAGTTTAATTACCAATATGGAGTACATTATACTGGCTACAGAAAGTTAGATCTCTATAAACGCGTCTCCAAGCCTCACGCTACGTGGCTTTCGAAAAAGAATGTCAAATAAACCTTAGACAAATATTGGGACATATTTTCAATTCTGATCAAAGTATCCCATAGGAAATTTTGGTGTCTGGTTCTATGTCGAGCCTACATAGCTCATTCTAGCTTATAGATAAACCAATTTATCCATTCTTCTTAAGTTACATTTTGACCTTGGCTGTCTTTAGATGAGCGTATGTGTGTACATCTTATCCTACTAATCGCACGTCTGTAGCTTATTTTTATCTGGTTATAAATATTGATTAACGCTTGATTAAATCGGGATGGGTCACACGCGTTCTCCACTGTGTGTCATTTCGCTTCGCTCACTTCTCTTCGCTTTCTTCACTGCATCTCTCTGTTTTTCTGTTTTGATCAACGATTGTACAAAATATACGTACAAGAATACGAAGAATCTGTAGTCCCGAGATCGTAGACGAAGAATTGGGTCTTTTAAAAGAGATACTTATCAAAAACGGGTATCCTTCGATATTCATTGATAAGAATATGAATCCGAAAACGCCAAAAACACAAATAATCACAGTAGAAAACAAAACTTTATATATGAACATCGACTTTAAAAGTGACAGAGCCATATATATCTTAAAGAGGAGAATTTCTGATTCCTTAAAAAGAACATTCTTCACACCAACTTTGAGAATATTATTCTTCAGCCGATCAATGTTCATCAATAATCTGAAAGATAAATTATCGCATCTGAACAACTCTATGTGCATTTACCAATTTACCTGCTCTAGTGGAGCTAGGTATATAGGTCGTTCGATGCGTACTTTATCCAAAAGAATTCAAGGACATTATCCGGCGTGGCTAAAAAGATGAGGCAACGGCTCAATAAGAAGTTCTATAGTCGAACACCTTGTGAACACAGGTCACTCAATCAAGACAGACTCTGCGTTCAAAGTCATCTACAAGGTAAGTAGAAGTCTTCTGAAGACAACTAGACTGCATCATCTTTGCATTGCCGAGGCAATAGCCATACATCTGGAAAAACCGGAATCGCGTGTGCAAAAGAGACTGGTACAACCTCTCCTTCTACCATGGTCTTAATGTATTAAAATTTTTCTTCTCTCTTTTTCATACTCTTGTTTCTTTACAGCCATCTGCTTCACCTTCCATCTTCCTTTAAATCTTCTACCCCCAACTGGTTTGTTTTTATTTCCACGACCATTCCGATTACATTTCATCTCTATTTCAACATTTTATTTTATTATTCTGAGCCATCCTTTCCCAATAATAATTTCCTTATCTATCTTTTGATGAATACCTAAGCCAATAACAATCAAACGATTATTAAACTTTCTTTGTTTTTAAAATTTTTTATTTTAATATCTTTGTTTATTTAACCTCACTGTCACCATGCTTAACAGAAGGTTATTATCAGAATTATTATCATCCTGTAAAATAAGTATAGATATTTGCGATTGTACAGCTTTGAAAATGAATTCGCCGAAAAGAGAACTCTTCGCTGAGCTAATTAATCATATTGCAGACAGTGTTCAACGTCGGGTCCCACAAACCACATTTATCTATCCAACCAATACCTAATAAGTTAATATCACAGTTTCCAGATGCTTAGCATTTGCCGGTCATAGTCTTGCCACCGAATGTGGGAGGTAGCTTCATTTCTCCAAGAAGAGTGATGTTAGTTCCTGTCGCACTCCTAGCATTAGAATGTGCAGGTTGGTATTGAGGTCGACCGAGTTTTATACAAGTCTCTCTATAAATTAATGTTATGTCAGACCCATATCAATTTGCAGCTTAACCGCCTTACCATTAAAAAAGATAGTTTGCAACACTATAAACTCTTTGATATTTTTGTATGAATATCCAGACAGAATAATCTAGTTTTAAATAATTTCCAATACATACATTTTGCTATCTTTATTCTCCTTGTTCTAGAAAAGTGCGATTGCATCTCATTTACTTCAGTGATAATGTGTTTAAATTTAACGTTGAATGACACGAATCGAAAATCCTACTGGGATCACCAATCCCGTCAATATTGCAGATACACTTTATTCATGAATATTAACTACAATGAAACCTAGTTCAAGGATTTCCTGTCGACTACTGTCAACTGACTTATCTCAAACGAAATGTCGATTTACTTAAAATAGTGACCCCTAACAGGTTGTTGATTTCAGTTTATTTGTTTAAATAAACCACAACTACTAATTTGTAAGTTTAAAAAATCTAGATAAACTAATAAATGCGAAAAAGTAAACCGGTGTTTAATACATGCAAGCAATTTGACTTATTAATTCTGTGTAACCAATTACGAGGTTTACCAGTTACCGGTAATGAG